CAGACTTAAGGATACATCTACATGGCACCTGTGCTGTGTGCCGGAGCACCGCTGTGAAGTTTGCCCTCCCAACTCTACCTCTGCGTGCATTCAGTCATGGACATGAGGCCACAGAGCTGCCTTAGAGCAGGCCAGAGACAGGGGACTGAACAGCAGCTCTGGGCATACCCTCGGGGTCTCCCTTAAGGCAGGTATATTGCCTCATTTCCAGGATTTGGCAGGGAGTAAGTGGGTGGGGAAAGCTGCTCAGCACTGGTTCTGGCCCCAGTGTGGCTGTGGGGTTGTTAGGGGGCTGCATGGGCAGGTTGTCATGCCTATGCAGCCCCTTGACAGCCATAATGTCCCTCTCCTTGTTTTATGTGCTGTGCATGATTAAAGTGCACTCGCCCAATGCCCAGCTGTCAGGGTAAGTGCTCCTTCTCTGTAGTGGGAGCGAAGTTTCCCTGCTGCTGCCTGAAATTTAGGCCATGTGAAGCTGAGCATCCAGCCAAGTTGCCTTTGTGTGTGTATTTCTGGGTCTTGATTTCCATCTGTTTACAATAGATGATGCCAGAGGAGACTGTGTTGCGCCCATGTGTGATCTCCCAGCTGCTGTGATCATGCTGGTTTTAGATGTGAATTGGGAGGCCTGCTTTGATGTTAAAATGGGGAGGGTTATTTAAATAACTGAGGCAAGCATGGTGCAGTGTGCACTCTGAGACTGACCAGACCCACGTCACGTGGCTGCTTGAACTCTCCACAGTGGCAGGCAGCTGAGATGCAGCAGGAACACTTTCAAAACAGCCCTTTCTCACTAGTTCATTTTCCCCTTGGCTAGCCAGTGTTTACATACCTCCAGCTCCACAGCTGGCCTCCAGTCTTCTGCTTATTTTAAACTCCTTCCAGGCAGCTTTTTACATTTTTATGTGTCCTTTGAAGTAGCAGGCAAAGTTCTTTGGGTAGATGTTATATCGACAACCAACAACCCTACTTTGAAGTGGGGCTTTCTTTGTACCTTCATGGGCAGAAGTTTAGTTATCTCCCTCGTTTTTCTGGACTAGCTTTCCATTCACTTGTGTCTCCAGCTCCTCTGCACGCTGAGGACTGGCTTGAATTCCATTTGATGGGAGGTCATCAGTGTATTGCATCTTTTTTATTCCATTTGCAGATTAGCAGCTCGATTTCATCCAAGAAGAAGGGGCCAGACCACCTGGACCTTGTGGGTATGCAAGAGGCAGTGAACAAGGAGGCTTCTCTGCTCTGATAAAGAGCTAGACACAAACCAAGCTCTTCTGCTCAGCAGTGTATCAAGCTGAGTTGTGCCTCCAGATGAAGAGTAGTCCACTGCTCCCCCAGCACCCCGTGCTAACCACCACAAGTTGTTCCATGCAGAGGGGAGTGGATGGTGCATTCTGGGAATGGGCAGAGCAGGGACTACTGTCACCTATTTCCTTGCCATCCCTCCCCAGTGATCCCAGATTTAGTGGCTATTGCCTGAGGCTGGGGTCTCCTACTAGGGCAGTGTGCCTCCACAAACCCCACCCTGTGGCTCTGTGCTGAAGGCACAAACTAGCCCTTTTTGCATGGAGTAGCCTAGGATTCGCCCTCTATCTCTGTTGCAACAGGGTTCCTTTATGGAAATCAGCAAGGCAGGGACAGCTTGTGTGTTGTAGCCATTTGTAAACCTCCATCATTGCTATTACCTGCCATGATAACTGAACAGTTGTAGCTTGCTCTGGCTTCACAACTCCCTTATAAGAACACATAAGAAGAATCTCTAATTTAAGACTCACATTGAATGTTGGTAGGGAAGGCAGAGCACTCAGCATCAACATACTTTAACTTCCCTTGATGATCTGAACTATTTCCTTCAAAATTTCTCTCCATCTCACTGATGATCTGACGCTGTTCCAGACACCAGGTAGGGAAGGTTGGTGTGCTATACAAATAACCAAAATCTACTAACTGGTGTGAACATGTGGTACCGAATGCTAATTAAGAAGCTAGAATTCCATGGGGTGGAGAATCTGTTTGTTGGTGTCAGTGTCCATGATGAGTGGTTCCTCACATCCGGGAGAGCATCACATTTTCTGTAACCCTGACTACAGACTCCCCCCTACCTTTCATTCCCACTTGTGATTCCAACTTTCATGTGCCTCTGGTAATCCCAGGCTGCCAAGAAGGCAGTACTATATCCTGTAAAACACAGATATCTCCCAAATACAGTGGGGAGATGGTCTGATTTTCAGACTGCACAATCAGCTTGTATAATGAATTCCCATTAGCATATTCTTTTAGAATTTTGTATTTGGGTATGTCTAGCCCTCACCTTTTGTTGGCATCAAGAGTATGATCTGAAGCAAGTTCAAGTTGATGGAAAGGCTTCCCTTCCTTTGAAATAAAAATAGTTTGTAAAACAGAGTTAAATATCCTTTAGTGGAGTGGCCTAACTTCTGATCTCTATTATTCCACGTGAACACCTCAAAGCTGGCAGTCACTCCAGATGTACATGTGTGCAGGTGAACAAAATCTGACCCGTGTCTGTAAAAGCTTAGAAGTGAGCCAGAAAACTTATTCCTAGAATTCTGGGCAACTTTCCACAGAACCGAAAAGAAAAAAAAAGCAAATCACAAGGGGCCACATCCCGTGAGCCTGATCAGTGGAGTGGAGTTATACCAGGGTGATGTGTTAGTTGCGGTCCTAGCCCAAGAGATCAGGAACAGTGAGGGGAGGTACTTGTACTGTGAAAATCCTTCTGCATCTATTTCAGAAACGGTAGTGTCTCTCTCACCATTATAAACAGTGATATATTCTTGCTGCCTCGTTCTTTCATGTGGTTAGTGCAGCCTCTTCCTGTGTCATCCATCTGACTGTCATGGTGACAGAGTGTGAGAATGATAACCAAAAACTGTGAATACTGCATGCACTGTGAACTTCCTGACCAATGGCCATGTGGCAGGGCCCCTTCTGGCCTTCCTAGAGAACAAACGCAGAACAAAAATAGATGCTTATTTGGGTGTATTCATATTTCCTTCTGCTCCCAGAGATACAGAATTTGGGCACTAATAGCAGGAGGGATGTCAGGGACTGAATTTTTGCTGGGTGGTGCTTGGCATAGTATCTGCTCAAGAGGAACTTGTGGTTTTTGACATCCCCCAAGAGGGAAACAAACACCCATCTGCTATCGTATGGTGTGTGAGTGGATGTTTTTGTGTTCATTTTAATAACTGTGATGCTCTCTGATCATCCATAATTGAAATTTAAAGAACAATATTTCTTAATTATCAAAGCAACTCCTAAGATCCCAACTGTAGGTCACTTCTTAGCCATTAGACAGAACTGTTATGAAAGCTCCTTGTTAAACCTCTCATAAGATGGAGAGAAAAGTGTATATGTGTGTGTGTGGGGGGAATCTATTCCAGAGTAAACAGCAAAGGACTCTGGAATCCAACTTTATTTAATTGATATCTTGCCTGCTGATGGATTTGGAAGTGTTATGGAAGAGGCAGAGGTGTTGCACAAGTCAACCTATATTTAAGCATTTGCTTGTTTCCTGGCATATCCCTGCAGGTGTCCAATTCTTGTACTCTGCATTTTCCTTTTTTTGCTTCTAACCTATGTTGAATAAAATAATATCTATCCTGTCTTTGGAGCCATTTTCCTTTATGCCACAGCCAAAAAGCAGCTGCCATATACCACTTTGAGGTACTGGAGTTTCACCTAGGTTCTGCCTGAGGCTGTGAGAACCTTTGGATAGTCTCTGTAGACCTCTAACAGTGTAAAATATCTTGCCACATGCTTGTTTAAAAACAGCGATCCAAAATAATCAAGCTCTTGGAAAACTGAAATCTCAAAGCAGAGAGAAAATGCACATGGCATCATCCTGTGCTGCTTTGCTTGTTTGGATGGAAATGGTAATGTTTCTAGGTCACTGTTCTCCTTCATCATGGCGGGAGGGATTACATAGTATCTGGCTGTAGCTGCTTAGCATTGAGTAGCTGTGTATCCATGCCTAGGAGCACTGGCAAAGTGCAGGGGAGATCTATGAATTGCATTCACTGCTGACCTCTAGGTTATAAAGTGCTTACCAGTGGGACCTAAGGAAGATGAATGCTGTTGTGGTGTCTTCCAGGGGGTACTTGCAGGAAGCCCTGCTGCAGGGGAGATTAGATAACTGGCCAGCATTGTACTCCCCATCACCCTGCACATACTCCATTCGCTAGGATAAGCAGTAACCACAGAAAGTTCTGCAGGAATGGGTTTGCAGCAGCACCTAAACCTGTGTGCATTTCTTTTATTTTCCACATTTGAATTGTTAAGAGGTCGGTGCATGGATATTAGAAGTGATGGAGGAGTTCCATGCAGCACAGCATAAACTTAGGCCCTGCACCTTCACTTTCCTTTCATAATAATTTAGTTGTGCTGAAACTGTCTTGGTGTCACCTAGAGGCATAACAGTTAAGCTCTGTCTGCATGAAAGGCACAGGGAATATTAGTGACTTTTATTCCCCTGACTTTTATTCATGTGCCTGTGAAACATGTGGTCCTGAGGGTGCCTGGTGGTCATGCCATTGTTTGACATGAGGGGCTATGAGGTAGGTAGCCTTGGTCAGATGCACCTGCTCCTGTCTCCTTGGTACAGCCTCTGTCTGGATTGGAATTTGCATCATGGTAGGTGAATGGCTCAGGCAGTTCTCCTGATAGTGTCCTTGGAGGTCATAGCATAGCGTGGGCCTGCTCTTGAGCTCCTCTCTGGCCAGGGGTTGTATTTGTTGAAGGCCCTTATCTATACGATCAATGATGAGATGGGATAGAAGCACATCCAGGGATAACTGAATATCATGTCCTTTGTTTCTGCTCTTGAGGCTTCCCCAGCTGTTGCTCCTCATTCACAATGGAAAGCTACATGCATGCACAGCAGCCTGACTCAATCCGATAAAATCCGCTGGGTTTTTTTGAGGATGCATCTTTTACCAGCACTAAATACTTGTGAAACTGAACATTATCCCTCCTTCCCACAGGCATCACGTGGGGCAAGGTGGCGTCACTCTATGCTGTGGCAGCTGGGCTGGCTGTGGACTGTGTGAGACATGCCCAGCCGGCAATGGTTCATACCATCGTGGACTGCTTGGGAGAGTTTGTGCGCAAGACCTTGGTGACGTGGCTGAAGAGGAGAGGAGGCTGGGTAAGAGACGCTGACACTTCTCAGGCTTGCCTTAAATTGGAAAAAAATGTAGGCAATATTATCTGTGTGAATGAAAACAAGAGCAATCTTTTGGCACGTACTGAGCAAGGTTGCCCGGTACAACTCTGCCAAAATGCTTTGGTTCTAAGCTGCAAGAATCCTGCTTGTACCAGTACTAATCTCAACACAGCTGTGCTATACCCCCCACTCCTGCCATGCACGGATTCTGGCTATTCTTAGCCTTGGTTTCTTGCACAGCTCTGCCAGCCCAATTCAATCCTAACCAGCAGCCACCTTTTTTATTACTATCCAGGGCCTCTCTAGAACAGATGACTAATTATAATGGAAGGTCACAAATTGCAGGACTCTTGCAACACAGACAGATGTCTCCTAGAGACTGATTGAGGCCAGCAAACTTATTACAGCTTCCCACACAAATTGCAGAGGTGAGGGGTTAGCATATTAACAGAACTTGCTGCCATCTGGAACTTTATATGATTATTAAAAAAATGCCTTGTTTATGCTGCTTCCTAGGCTTATTCCTGGTAATGGTATATAGATAACATTTTATGAAGCTCATAAAGACAATACATAAATCAGAACAATCACTTTATACTATTACATTGGTATAAAAAAGTAGTGGATAGATGACCCAACCCATCAACCAGCCCAATCTGGTAGAGAAACAGTCCTAAAGAATCAGGGGTAAAACAACAGTAGGGTGAAGTTACATTGGTTTAAATTTTGTCTGTCTGCTTCCATACTGGGTTGGCCATTTACTACATGCTAGCTGGATAGCACCTGCTCCCTTGCCACCTAATGAAGAGACACTGTAATTGTGCCTACTAGCCCATGGTAATGCTGAAAACACATTCTGAGTTACAGAGCAACAGCAGCATGAGCTTCTGCCACTGCTGCAAGGGTGTCTTTCAACCCTGACTCAGACTAAAAGGACAGTTCAGGTTCTCAGCCTAGCAAATCCTTAAGCTTCTGTGCTCAGACTCCCAAATGAGCTTGCAGTAGTGGTGGGTTTTGTGATATTTGGGAATGGAACCACCAACTTCATTCACATCTAGCAAGTCTGTCACATCCGGTGTGGGGCTGGATCTGAACGCCTTAACAGTTGAGCTGGGTGGAATTTTTTTGATACAACATTTCATTAGAAAAAATATTTCCATCTAAATTAAATGTTTTGGGGGAAAACAGCTGTTCTAACAAAATTCTTTTTTCCTTTTGATAAGGTCAATGGTTCCATGAGATTGAATATCTTGACTTCCTTTAAATCTCTTCCTGATTCAAAACAAAACATTCTGGGGGTTCCAAAAGTTTTCCAGTCTGTTTCGTGGGCGACAGCGGTATTCCAGTTGCTTTCATTCTGATTTGGAACAAAAAAAATTTAGAAATGTTGGAATTTCCCACAAAACAAAAGCTCAGTTTTTTGCCCGGCTCTAGTCCCTGGGAGTAGACAAGAAGTCCTGTTCCCTTTCCAACCCCTTGCACTTTCCAGACCTATATCCTGGGCCAGCTGCCACTCACTGTATGTCCATTGGATCTGAGGAGGTTGTGCTGATTCATGCTAGGACATGTTTCAGTATTTTAACAGCCACAAACCTGAACGCTGATACTGCCTGATACTCCTGACTATGGGCTTTCTCTAGCATACGCTTATCAGTGAGGAGCTGATCCTGGGCTCGTGAAAGGGGATGCTTCCCCCCATAAATGCAAATAGTGATTTCCACTGATAGTGGGACATGGCCAATCCTTTCTTCCGTGTTGAACTGTTTCCCTGAGCTTTCTTCCCCCTGACCTGGGCACCCCTGTGTGAGGCTTCCCAGCTTTGTTCACAAACTGGCCAGAATGAAGCTGCTGTTCCAAGAATCCCTTTCACATCTGCTGCCTGACCTAGCCTGGTGTTCATTTGTCTTGGCGCACAGTCTGAGTTTCCCCTGGCCCAGGCACCCAGCCTCTTGTCTCTCACGCATACACCAGGGATGGCTGCTGCCAAGAGGAACCACCGCAGTCTTCCCCGGGGGCAGGAAAGCTGGTGTCGAGACCTCAGAAAAGCATTTGAAAGATTCCAGTAAGCAGCCGGCTCCCACGTTCCTCCCTCCACAGAGGGAAGCCGGAAGTTAGGGAGAGTCATAATTCATCCATGGAGGCGTCACCACACCCAGGAGTCCCGTGTCCGTGTCCCCCCCCCCCACTTCTAAAATGACCTCCACTAGGACTTTCTCTTCAAGGAAATCCCTGTGTACAATAAAGCTTCTAGTAACTGTTAAGTAGAGCAAGTGGCTAAACAATGTTTGACAAATAATTAGCAGTGAAACAGTAGACTACCCTTACAACAGCTTATCAGTGCCTCGCAGGGCTGAAAGACCTATTTAATTAGCAAGCTTTGAAACTCTCCTTTCTGACGTTTTATTGGGTAAATTTTATTTGATTAACAGTAGTTAAGGCAACTGCTTGGCAAGGAAAATTTTTAAAACAAACAAGTGCCTTGCAACACTGAAACATGTTTGTATTTCCAGTGCAATGGGGAAGCCCGTTAATTCAGGCCCAATCTAGAATCTGATATTTATTGGTTCCAGTTGAGGTATTCAAATGGATAGGCCTGGGTCAGATAATAATTATTTCAACTGAAGTAAGAGAGAGGAAAATGGTGCTCTTTTCTAATAAATGCTTTGAAAAATGTATCCATATAACATTCTGTATTTGTGTCCGTTAAGTACCACGCTCCAGGAGCGGCCCCAATGGAATGCAGTCCTAAATTTATGTTTACTCTGGATGCTTGGGCTCTTAGTAGTCTAGTCAAATTAATTGCTACAATGTGCATGCTCTTGACTAATAATTAAACTGCACTTTTTTTATCACAAGAAGTTGCGTATGGGTGGTAGCATTCCATATTAGTTAGGGAACAACCAGCCCTATAAATATTAGAATGGATCAGATAGGTATTCAAAAGTTATATTACATTTAGACATAGAAATGCCATGAAGTCAAGTGCAGAACGTTGCTCTGCATGTCCATCAGCAAAGCCACACTAAAACTTGTATTTATAAGGATGCTTGGAAATTATGGTGTCACCTGTTGCATCAACTGTGAAGGGCACTTGACACTAGGTTTTTCACAGAACTGTACGATTTCTGTGATTTCTCATGAAAGGTTCCCGTGGAAATCAGTGCTTAAACTATAAGAAGTTATATATCACTCCTTCCTCATTCTCAGTTTTCCATTAGATTAAAAGACAAGGTGTGCCCTAGAAATGAACCAATACGAGCATGAAAAGTGGGTCCTTCCTCAACCCAAGTGGGCAGGCTACTGAGGAATGGCAGGAATAGAACAATGTCATAGTCTAGTTTTCTACTGCACTGTCTGTTCAAGGGATCATACATGTCTATAGAAGCACTAAAGAATTAAGCTTTGCAGTATGCCCATGTCAGATGTGGAACTTTAGGAACAGATCAAGGCACACAAACGCTTCACAGCTCCCCTGGGAACTGATTTACAGCTGTGCACACTTAGGGCATTTTTACACATGCTCGGAGGGGGGGAGGGGGAAGAGGGCAGTGCTTTAAGTAGAGTGGCTGTCAGAGCCACTTTAACTATAGCACTGCATCATCTCATGTATTAGTGTCCCTTGTGCTTAAAAATGGCAGTGGGGCACCTGAACTAAAGCTTGTTCAACGAGCTTTAGTTCAAGCACCGCTGCCACCATTTTTAAGTGTGGGGACGTTGATACACAAGATGCAGGAGGCTACTGGAATGTGGCAATTGCCATACTCCTGCAGACTTGATTAATCACTGTAATTACAGCATGTTGGAGCAGCTTCCGTGCTCTTGGACAGGCTCTTGTACAGGCACCCTTAGTGCCTGAAAGGGGAGGGGAGAAAAAAAATCAGGCCAGTGTCACAACCAGGGCACCGAAAAATCTGTGAAAACCTTGGGCTATGTTAACTTCCTGACCCTGTCCCAAGCTTTGACCACAAAACCACATTTTTTCTTTTTAATTTTTTGGCTGGAACAGTAATTTGTTTTCCCCAAATGACTACAGTTATCTATCAAACTCTGTCTTTGATATTTCACTTTTGGCCAGTTTTTCATCCTCAGCTTTTTGTGCCAAAAGCTATTCTTTGCACATTAATTTACTGGGCTGCTTTTTTTTTTTTGTTTAATAATTTTTGGCCAGCTTACATGCCCCTAAATACTTAAGGATCACTGGGGGCAGCTGCTTTTGAGGTTGGCCCACACGTCAAGAAGGTGCCAGGACGCATTTCTACAAACAAAGCTCCTATTACTATGGATTTCAGTCAGGGATTGGTTTGGCTGAACAGATCCAAATAAAACATTAAAGCAAGAGAAAAAGTAAACGTGATTTCAGCTGAAATTAAACAATACAATCTCTGGGAAGGATTTTGTTGCCACTAAAGGAAGAAAGGTGGAGGATGATAGTGCCAAGGGTGCTTAGCTTTCTGAAAGACGAGAGATTTTGTGGTGGTGTCACACATAATGAAAGCTCCACTATCAACCTTTCATGCTTTATTTTTTCACTCAGTATAAATTAAGGGAATGCACATCCTTGTTGGTGCAGAATGAGAGAAGTACATCTTGCAGAGTTTTCTTTTCCCTGCAGGCATATTTAAATATCTTATAGGGTGTGGAAATGCCAAGGCTGGTATTCATAGCTGCTCAGGACACTGCAAGGAGGCATTGTAAGGGAAACAGTTTAATATTGCTGGTTGAGGGATATGCGAGTTAAAATCTCCAGTCTTCCCACAGAAGGAGTTACTATGGGGAATGGCGTTAGAGACCACTGGTGGCAGCAGATGTGTTTGGTTCTGGCTTATACATTTTCTGATGAGGTCTGTTTCTTCTTTATTAGGCTGACATCACAAAATGCGTGGTGAACACTGATCCTAGCCTTCGCTCCCATTGGCTTGTGGCTGCTGTTTGTAGCTTTGGTCACTTCCTTAAGGCCATCTTCTTTGTGCTATTACCAGAGAGATGAATTCCAGTTGCCAAATGCAGCCCCAAGCTCCATCTCCTCCCACACTGCAAAAGCAATGATAATTGCAGACCTAGCTGATACTGAGGAGGAGGAAGAAGAGAGAGGCTGGGATAAAAATGAAAGCATTTCTCCCCTCTCCCTTCAATGGAGAGCACCTGATTGACTGCAGTCCTTCTTTCTTCAGCCATGGAAGACTTCTCTCGTACTCAAAGTAGTCCTCTTGAATACCCTTATTTTTCCTGGAGTCTCTTCAATGACCAGGATGAAGCCAGTCCCTGAGCAGACTCATTGCTCAACTTGTCATTGTGTGCTGTGTTTAGCATGGATATTCATACATATATTTATTTTGGGACTATGTTAAACACACACCAATATCAGGGTAGGTGGCGGGGACAGTGTCTAAAATGGCATCAAAGGAAACGCATCCCTCATTTGTTAAGTAGACCATCTTTGGTTTAATTCCCAGAACCACCTTTGCTAGGCACTCTTGTTAGTAAATCAGTTGTTAACTTGGTCTTCTTCTTTCTACCCAAGCCTGACCATTGTGCTTTTGTGCATGGTACACAATGGTTAAAGGGGCTCTGTTTTGAGGATGTGAAGTGGTGAATTACCGACTGAGCTAAAAGCAGCGCTACCCCCTGAAGTCACTTAGAAACTAGAATGGTGACTTCGTGATGGTGAGAACCACCAGAATTCAGTTTGAGGTATGCATTGAGATGTTAAAGGCATGCTTAACTTATCCATGTACTGTATTGTAACAGAAGTTCAAATGGGAGTCCAGTAGCAGATGCTGCCTGCCCTAAATTAATTTAATGTCGTGTTTTATCTGGCTGAACAAAATAGTGGGAGCAAAGCAGCACTTTCCAAAATGACAGCAGGTGTTGAGCATTATGCTAAAGACGAACTTTTCCTCCACAGAGGAATTTAGATGGAGCCAAACCAGTAACATATGTAAGTATGATGTGTCGGGGGTGGGGGGGGATTTGGCAAAAACTAAGTGAGCAGTATCATGTTATGAAAAGAAGTGTATCAAAAGTGACAGATAAATGTTTCTTTTAGCATATTATGAAGTGCAACTTGCAATCTTCTATTGCGATAAACAATAAAAAATAGGTGGCTTAACTGGTGAGGAGCACTGTATTTCTTTCTAGAGTTAAAAATACACTCCTCCACCCCTCAAAAAAAGCATAACACTGTATAGACATCAGTGTTTGAACCATGTTAGAACATCACCTTTTGCCCCCGTATAAGTTAAAATCAAAATATAAATAAGGTGGTAGTTTTAACTCACATTGCTAACACATAAGTATGCCTCTTTCTTCTTTAGTGAAGCCTTGTCTTCAGTCTCTGAGGGCATTTTTACACATACTGCAGGCGTGGGGGTGGTGCTTTAATTACAGTAGCTTCGAAAGCCGCTCTAATGAAAGCACCCGCAGCATCCCATGTATCCGCATCCCCGCACTTCAGAATGGCAGCAGGGGTGCTTTAATTAAAGCTCATCGAACAAGTTTAACTTAAAGTGCCCCCACCACCATTTTGAAGCACACAGACACTGATGCACAAGATGCAAAGGTTGCTGGAGCATGCTGGTTAGCGTGCTCCTGCAGACTTGATTGAGTCTGCTCCAACGCGCTGTAATTATAGTGCATTAGAACAGTCTCCCCATATGTCTACAGGAATCCTAAAGATTTAATGGTGAGTGGCCTCACTAGAGCCCACTGAAAACTGAAGTCTTTGACTAAACATCTACCGGATGCCTTTGCTTCTAAGGTTCAGAAAACATTTTGAATGGGATCGGGAGCCTGCATGAATGCTTGGGAGTTTTTTTTACCTGAATAAACCTAGGGCAAAAAAAACATGGATTTTTACCTGCTAAAGAGGGAAAGAGGTTGAGAACTGTGGGCTTGAAAAAAAAAAAACAGCTTTGTCCTTCAGTCCCCCTTCACAGGTAGGTAATGTCTACTCTGCACATGTTTGAGGGCACACCTATGTCAAGTGATTGTGCAGAGGCATGCTCTCTGACTGATACAGCTGCACTGGTAGAGGTAGTGTAGATACAGTTATAGTCTGGCAAAACTGTGCGTGTTTCCCTCCTAACGGGTGGTTTTCCACTACTAGTACAAAGAACAGTTTACCCATAGTAAGAGTGTTTTGTCCGTACTGTGTACAGGTGTTCTGATATCAAAGTGCTCCTACTGCAGAGAAGGCTTAAGAGGAAATAAAACATACTTCCTGCTGAAGCTGTGTGCAGCCTCAGGCATTATTACACTGCGGAGGATTTGCTGGAGGAACCATCCAGACAAGAGTTCTTTCATGGTGCATCACTTTGTACTGGTTCCTCAAACAAAACAAGTTATACTGGCAGAAGGATTTTTTTGCCAATCCAACTGCAGGTCTTTTTGATAGCTTGGCTCTTTGATCAGAACACTCCTTTCTCTCTCCACACTCCTAATAGTTATAGCACTGTTAGAAATTTTTTGACCATAGATCAGATAGAAGACTGTAAATTAGATCAAATTAGCTAATGCCTATTAAAATTGGGTTAGGCACACTTCTGACAATGCAAAAAACCTCTGTTCAGAGGCACATAAAGCAAAAATCAGGCAATCCCTGAATATGGATGCAGTCCCATAGATTTGAGGGTGATTTTCAGGAAGCTGAATCCCTTAAATTTAGGTTCCTAAACCAATTGTTACTGTGATATAAAAACTGCATAGACCATTCCCAAAATCCTGACAACATATAGGCTACGTAGGAGATTTTCAGTCAACCAATTTAGCACATGGTAAAGTACAACTCGTGTTATCTTGGCCAGCTTTTTAGAGGGCAAGCAGATTAATGGAGCTAGAAAACACCAAATCCAGCACTGTACACTTTTCAGAGATTTGTTTGATCAGGAGTTTGAGGCTTCTTTGAAATACAGTGTTTCAGGCTCCAACTGTTTTGAGCAAATTAAACTGAGGCTCTTGAGGAGTTAAATACACCAACTAAGGCAGCATAAAATAAGTATGATAAGCCAAATAAAGGACCATTGCTCAACAAGAATGTGCGTGGGTGGTAAGGGGGTTAGATACACAAGGAACCAGCAATTAATACAGGAAACTCTGCTGCAGTGAAATGATACGGCAGGGTGTTCCACTTGTCTGACTTCACGATGACTCCCCAGACGAGAACTTTAAAAATAAAAGTAATAAAAAAAGAATCCAAACCCTCCCCTGGATCCAAATGCTGCCTTCACACATCTAACATTGTTTCTATCAAGCCCTTGAGACGCTCAGGCCTGGAGCTAATGGCAGTATTTTCCCCCGTGCATGCCTTTTTTTTTTTTTTTTGTTGTTGGCAAGCTCAGACAAAAGAAGCTTTTCTCCTTTGATGAAACTATGAAAATTCACATCAGGTCAAATGTGTAAGAGCTGAGACGAAAATCTGATTTTGTAGTTAACAGGGAATGTGTCAAAGGGGGCTTCAGCAACAATGAAAGCTATCAGATGGACTTGCTGTCATACCCTTCTCACCCCCTATGGTTCCTGAGGTAAGTGGGATGGAAACCTTGCTTTAAGTCCCATTATTTGCTATTCTTTTTAATGTTTCAAAGTAGCACTATACTTCCCATAACCTACACTTGTTGTATGTAAGTTTTCTAGATAAGAAATGCCCAGTAAACAAGACCTTGCAAAGATATTGAAAAACAACTTTGAGTGAGTGGCAAAACATGACACATAACAGACTCCGTTTTTCTGAGCCAAAACTTTTGGCACAGTAATGATGCTTAAAACAGCTGCTCCTTATAGGATACTGATAGATGTACATGCAAAGGGCTTTAAATCCTACCCTAATTTGAAGCATATCAGTAGCATACAGACTTCCAGGCTCCTCTAAGTGAAAGCACCTCAACATATGCTACAACATCCGAGAGCAACATGCCCAAGGAAGAAGAAATGAGCACTCCACGGAGGATGACTTTCTGTCTATGACTATCCTTCTGGGCCTTTGAGGCAAGTGGCAACTGGTGGGAACTGATAGCTCTAAGGATCTGAGACAATGAGCACTGGTAGCAAAACTTTAGGATAAGCAGGGCACTCTTCCTCAAGGTATTTCCTCTGAACTGAGCTGGCCCCAGTGGCAAGTCACCAGCATGATACTATGCATGACCACTGAGAAACAAGTAGCTGTTGCAATCTAGAAAGCTGGTAATCCCCAATAAACTACCCTTCATTCCCTCCCTATCCAGTAGCATAGTTCACCTGTGTGATATATATACACCATATGTGGTAGAACACAAATTTATTAAACTAATCTCACTGTCTGCGAGCCAGCAAGACATTTTAACAGCCACTTAAGTCTTGTATTGGCTTAAGGAGTAATATCCTAGGACAGCAGGACAGTTTTCCTTATTTCTTTTAAACTATCCAGTTTACTTACTGTAAATTTAGGTTGAAGATTAGGAGGAACCTTCCAACTATGAGGGTGGTCAGCCATTGGATATTTAGGATGGGAGAAGGCTGCTCCTGGTTTCCAGGCTGAAATTTGCCTTTACATGAGTGGTTAAGGGCATCTGGAACGTTAGAAAGTGTTCCTAATTTATTTTACTTTATAAGGAAAAAAGGTGAGTGTTCAGCGTTATTAACTTGTGTTTTGTTCAGAGTTTGATATTAAGTTATCTTCCAACTTAAACAAATGGAAGGCAGAGAGAGTTTTGTTCATCTCCCTACTCATCTGGTTAGAAGCTGCCTCTCATTTCACAAAAACTAAAAAGACTGTAGTATGTCAATAATTTTTTTCTCTAGCTTTTGGTTTCTCCATGAGACTTTCAGTGTTCGAGCAGTGGAATTTCCTGTTTGCAGAAAGAAACTTAATTGAAAAGTCATATTCTATCAACCGTTTCAATGGAAATTTTCTTACCAACTCCGATCTCAATAAGGATCTAACACCTCATTGATTTCATAATTATGTTTATGCCACCCTCTCTTCAAATAATGGCTGCAGTGCCACCTCCTTCAAAACAGTTGAACAAGCTAAATTGATCTCATTGACATGCCCCCAAAAGATAGTTGCAACATTGTATTTTTTTCTACTGGTAATTTAAAAATATGAACAGTTCTTCATTTACCAGATCTGCACTTGATACTGACAAAGCATAGCAGAATGTGAGGCAGTAACAGAATTCAGGTTTTATATAAAATCTAACTCCAATCTTCCTCACTTTCAATTTTTTAACACTAAAAGAAATCAACTTTTTTTTTAAAGTTCTCCCTGTAATGAACAAAGCTGCATAAATAAAATGCATGCATAAATTAAAATGAATGAAACTGGGTGTCCAAGATCCCTCAGATAAATTTGAAAAACTCAGTCTTATAAGATGTTCTCTTCTGTGTATTCTTGCCTCGGCATTTATTTAGCTGTTTTATAAGCATTTATAAGCAATAATTTGCTGTAGACTGATTGGTTCCTTAGAGATGTGACATGAAGAGTATACATAAGAAAACCCAGTCCTCAAATCTAAACGCTGATGTAAACTTCTTGAACCCAAGTGGTTTGGCAGTTGGAGATTAAAATCAAACTCAGAAGATCCTGTAGCTTCTTTGAATCCAAACAATTTGACCCACAGGGATTACAAACTGCTGGCACAACTGTACACAAAGCCTTTAGTGAACTTTATTCTTCCTTAAGAGTTTGTAATAAGGTTTCTTTTATATAGTCTTCCAGGACCTGAACGTGTTTCATGTTCAATAAAATCTGTAGGGAACAAATAGCTACTGAAATAAGCATGCAGTCTTATCTAAAATAGGCAGTAGAAGTCTTGGCAAAGTAATTTAAAAAAATCCCCTTCCTTAAGAAGTTTGTTACAAAGTTTCCCTTTCTTAGAAACATTTACCTGATCCATCTGCCCCAAACTAGGAAGTGGCTTCACTATTTTTCAAAATTCTTCACACCATATGCTTACCTCTCACGAAGAACGACCCATATTTTTGATGCTGTAAATCAGCAACTCAGCTATGACAAAGACTGAACCACAAATCCAAAGTCCAAGATGATACTGCACAAATCAATCAATCTTTCTTTATTGGAGTTTTAAGTGCTACTCTGCCTTGTGACCTTCTCTGACAGGTTCACTGTGTTTTGAATGAAGCTGATAAGAGTCTCATTTGCAGAGCTATTTCCCTCCTGTACTGATGGAGGACTCTCTCTGTGTCTGACCAAAGTCCCTTGCAGTCAGCAGAACAATTCTGACTGACCTTGAATGAGATCCTTTAGGGCCTGATTCTCCATTAAAGGGGAGTGGAAGGGTCTAAAAAAAAAAATCGCTTAGGAGTGAGATTGCTAAACACCTTGCAGGTTCCAGACCTCTAAGCAGGTCTCTCTTTTCAGTTACAGGAGGTGCTCTCTTCTCATCTTCAGTCCCTATTTCATAAGCAGATTCTAGAGAGTTCTCTCTGTACTGTAGATATTTTCATGTTCCTAGTTTATTTGTGGCAATCTGCTTCAGATCATGTAGAAAGATGAAAAGGCTGCACTTGACAGCTCTCCTAACTCACTAGGAAACAGGCTTGAGAACCCTCTTATTTAATCACTGCCAGAGCAAAGGGATTTACAGCCCACACACGGCAATAATGTCCAAAGCCACAGGCATAAAAATAAAGGCTTTTTATTTGGTTTTTTAATATACCATTACAGAAACATCTGAGTAACATTCTCAACAGCACCAGTGTCACCTCCCTCCCCCTCCTGAAGTCAGAAGTGAATGTGGATCACCCAGATTTGAGAGAGCTGCTGTGTTTCTTTCCTGAGCTGCTTCTGTTCTCAGTGCACAATGTCCAGGCTCCTCCCATGTAGCAGGGGAACCCTCCTCTCCCAACTTATTTAAGGTGTCACCTTTTTGTAGGTAATGTGAAGGTGCTGAGTCATCGGCTGTGTAGTGGTTGCCATGGAGACAGTCTGTTCTAGCTTCCCATCGGAATTGAGCCTGAATTTTCTGGTAATCTAAGGGGGAAATATAAAACATCAAACAATTAGTCCTTTACTTTGTTCTGTACAGCATTAAAAAAAAACCCCCAATAGCTGGGGCAGAGTAAAGTTTTGCAGTTGGAAGGTAGCTATCCATCCCTTCTGAGGCCCAACCTTCTCCACACAAAAGCTTCAAAACACTTTACATCCTTCCTTGCCTATGCCACTAAAATGTATATTTGTTACAAGAGCTCCTGGAGAAACGGGATTAATTATATTGGAACCTCCAGGAAGTCAGCAGGCAACTTCTCTCCCTAAGGGAAGGCGGTTCTTTCAGAGATGACTGCTTATGCTCTGCACAGCTGAGTCCGATACTGTGAACACAGAGCGATGGACACAGAGCATTTTTCCTTAAGCACAGCTCAGAAAAGTAGTAATAAGTAGACAGCCTGAAAGCATGACATTCATCAGAAGGAAACACATGTAATAACAAACATTTGGAGTGTCAAAGGTCTTGTGCTGTTACGCAGCCCCTCTGGCAGATGAAAATCAGCTGCCATTAGGGCAGCTGCATCGTTTCTATGTTCCTGATTAAAAATAATTTCAAATTTAAAATCACATTCACCTCTGAGGTAGAATGACTGCTTCACCTGACATGGAGCCAAGTGCCATACGACGTAAACAGCTGAACCCAATGGACTCCATAACAGGCTGGACCTAAATTCTACAGCGTGGTTCTGGATTCTGCAGCACGCTGATGTGGCAGGCTGGAAATTATGCAGCAAATGTGCTTAAATGGTCATTTATTTTTAATTACAAAATCAACACAGTCAGTATGGTAGCTCCCTGGGCTCATTATTCTGGTATTACAGTAGGTACAGAGATTAGCTGCGCTTTCAAAACTGACTAGAGTAGTTAAGTGAAAGGTAGGTGGAATTAAAAACATCATCTTCTGCTAAAATGAACAGCAGCAAAATAGTTAAAGTTGCCAAGTAAACCTTCATTTCATTTGTGGCAGCACTGCTGCTGCTGTTACAAGAGGTAAGCCACATCAGGGCAGAGTATCTATGTTGGCGGACTTGCAGTGGTACGGTTACTGCTACAAGTACCCTACGTCTAGGGAGGCCAAAATTTGAAATTTAACCCATTGAGTTGAGTACAACATTTCACATTTCAGTGCTATTCTTTCACCTGAGGAAAAAGCCCTGCATTGGATTACACCTTCCAGACAGCTTTCACAACTCCAAGGACTCCCTTCAAGTTGGTCCACTGCACCAGCATAAAGCTTCTGAGAGTGGAAAATTCAAGCCAATCGGTTTTAGAAGCTTAGCTCTTGGGTCACAGTTCTGCAGCAACGGGGGGATTCTGCAGCTGTGGAATACATTGGGCCTTGAACAGAAATGATTGTATAATCACGTGTGATTTACAAGTGTCACGGGACCCCCGAGTGATCACGTTGCCAGAACACATCTTGGCATAAGTTATACATGTTCAGCAGTTTGGCCCTCTGACTTATTTCAGTGGAGAGTTTTTTGCACGATATCCAAGAGATTTGTTTATGTTATCTGGTTGCCTTTGCTCCTTCTCATGGGGAACACAGTCCCAGAACTGAGCGGAAATGAAGTCTTGGGGACTGTGGGAGCCCAGCCTGATAACCCTGCCAAAATGTAATCGCTTCATTAGCCAAATGTAAAATGTTCACTAAATGTGGTGTGCAACAATGAAAGCGAAAATTGAAAACACTTAGGAGACCATTCCAGTCAGAATGCTCCCAATGGACGCACAATTTGGACCATCCTCTCCAGCATACTTTCCAAAAGATATGCATCTTAGCGAGATCCAGTTGTCATTTGTATATATTTATATCTACAGCCTCCAAGATCTCTATCAAACTCTTTCTTCCTTTTAAAAACAAACTTGCACAAAAGTTTGCCCATTTATAATGATTTTATTTACATCACCTTGGAGCGCTTCAACAACCAGTGCTGGAACATTTGTTATGACAGAGGTGTTGGTTAAGCCTGTATTGGGATTTGTAGTTAAAATAAGATTTGGTTCTGCTATTTCTCACGTTACTGATTTAACCCAGTACTTAAAGTGAGGACAATGGAACTTTTCTTCATTTTTCAGGGTTTGATATCTAGCTGTTTTCCCTGGGAAAATATATTTTTATTAAGCTTCTGGCTCTCTTGGTGTCACCATTTTTTACCTTCACCTAAGGAAGCGCAGTTCCCACAAACTCTGCCCCTATACACGCTTTCAGAAGATCACAGGCTCGGCCACTTTTCAAAATTTGCTCTTCAATATACAAACAGTGATTTCCCCAACTCCACATAACGCTACTTATTTCTGCCAAGAAATACTCACATTATTGGCTATTTCCGCTTTCTCACACTAGGGGGGCAGCTGCCTCCACAGAAGGAGCTGTATTTCCAGATGTCTGACAACATGGGCTACAACTCCCTCCCATCCTGTTCTTGTCCCTACAATTAACAGGGGGCTAGGGAGGAGGTACATTTTGGGTGGCATAAGAGTTTTGATATAAAACGCGCAAGTTGTCAGAGACCTAGGGCTTGCCACTGTGCTTCCCTCCAAAAGGACCCTCCTATGCCAGCCTGACAAAGCTTGTCAGATGGGGAACAACTACTAAAACTTAATACATGGTGTGAAATGTTGGAGAGAACATACACATTGTCAGAATCGTTAGGGATCAACATGAGGGCATAGGACTTCTTGTTGCCTGAAAGTGGTGGGGGGGGAGGAGAGGAAAATTGAAACTTTCACAAAAACACTGACTTTCAGTTAATGCTGTTCAATGCAATCCCTTAAGATCAAGAAATTCAGAGCCAACATTCCTATTCAGTTTGAAACTCTTACCACACACTTATGCACGTGTGCATACGTGCTGCAAAGGCAAAACAAACCCGTTCCCCAGTTCAGAGTTCACACAGCGCATATCACAATTCAACTGGAACCGACAAGCTGAGTTCAGAGGCAAGGCTTTTTTTGTAATCTCTTTTCTTGGCCCAGCTGTATAGTTGGGAGAACTGTTGGACAGGCTTTCAAGCATCAGGTGCCCTTTTTGGTGACCTGAGGAAGGGCATAAGGCACCCAGTAGCTTGTTCAACAGCTCTCCCAACTATACAGTTGGTTCAATTAAAAAAAAACAAAAACCAGAAAAAGCCTCGTCTCTCACCACTATGAGAACACTCCATGAATGAGCTGAATTCATTCATTTTTACTTTGAAGCAAAAATACCCCAGGCATGTCACCATTACCTGTATGCCCCAGTTGTGTCACCATTACCTGTATGCCCATGGCCAGTTTGTGTGAATCAGTCTGAGATGGGAGTGTAGCTTCTGCGTTTCTGTTGGACTGTCAGGAATGGGGTGTGTGCATTAAATTTTAGACCCCTAGTGAATCTTTCAAGCGTGCTTGGGTGTACTGATGTGTGGGTGGGACGACACATGGGCTAGGACTGTATGTGAATGCTGTTCTAAATGGCAATTCCCTTGATTCTTTACTGATGAGATTGCTCAAACACCAGAAGGGAAACAGAAGGAAGACAATATATATTATCTTTAAATCTCATGGTTTTAACCCCATTTCATGGCTGTTAGGACTCTACCTTATTTTTTAACACTTGCGGTTAGGGATACATTCTGACCCTGTACCCAAATCCCAACAGTGAAAGAGAAAATCCGCCACTGGCAGGGGAAGGAATGGGTTTCTCACATATCTTCTGGACCATCACAGCTACAACAGCATTTCAAAGCCTTGAGATATTTCCCAGCTCTGAGTGGCACAGTTCTGTGACTGCACATGTCAAACAAGGTGGATTTGCAGGTGTCTACATTTGCAGGCATCACTGTTTCTCGTCTGTGAAGGGCTCTGCATGCCAGAAACTATCTAAAAGGATAGCTTCCCTGTGCAGGCTTTCTCTGTGCAGCTTTCATCACTAATTCATCCACCTCCCCCTACTCCCCAGTCCAAAGAGAAGCAAAATAAATCTGTTCCTTCTGGGCAGTATGACTTAGAAATGGTATACAACTGTGTATCAATATACATATATATAGAAAAAGTCACTGATATTTGGGGATCTTTCATTCCCTTCAATTTACTATCTCCCTCCCTAAAGGTCTCACAACTCAACAACAATCATTTTGGCTATTGAGGATGGCACAGGAATACTGCCATCACCAGCCCCAAAGTTGGACAGAGCTGATGCTGTTGAGACTGTTGCCCCTATGCCAGACTCAGCAATTGTTGGCCCACACAAAGAACCAGGAGTAACCACAACTGGACCCTTGGATTTGGCCTCATCCACATATCCCTGTTCATTCATCCACATAGCAGTTATATGGACTCATGTTGCCCCCATTTTTCCCCTGCATTTGCCCTGTATATCCATTTTCTCTTCAAAGTTGCTCTGAGGTGGCTCCCCTGATCTAATCTTTGCACAACACAAAAACAGATGCCACAGGAATATGGAACCTGCCTCAGGCATGCAGCTCCACTGAACCTTGAAGAAGCTATGTTTCATTTTTGTGTGGTTGCATGGACAATTGTCTCTCCTGTTACCAATGAAACGCATTTGCTCTGCTGATTTCTCTGAAACCCTTAAGGAAAACAAAGCAGCTTCTGATGGAGGACCAATTACTTTGAATGTGGTCAACTCCACTACCCAGCCAACTTGAAGTGATAATGAATCCTGTGTCTCAGGCATAATCTCCTGATGTGTAACTGAACCTGCTGAAACAATCCTGGGGGGAATGGAAAGGGGTGACAAGGAAAAAGGGCCCAGGAAGCTTGGAGAGGGTTGCTTAAAAATGAGAGGATTTCTCCTAGTGTTTTAGCCAAGTGGGTCCCCTTATTTATACACATACTTTTCTGTCCTGCAGTGCACCAGACATCCGCTACTTCTGAGCAGACTCGATTGAGAAGCAAGAGGCGCTGAATTTCTTGATCTTAAGGGACTGGATTGAGCAGCATTAACTGAAAGTCGGTGTTTTTGTGAAAGCTCCAATTTCCTTCCATCTTGCCTTCTGTTTGCCTTTTGATTGATCAAGTGTGCTCCTCATGCAAACAGAGGCAAATTGCACTGCACTGCATGCAGTTGTGTAAGTGGTAAAATGCACGTCAGTGCACAGAAAACTGCAGTGGTGCCCTTTTGAACCAAAGCACCTCCGATGTGTTTTAGTTCAGAAGCACACCGCAGCCACCTTTTCAGTGCTAACACACATTTTGCCACTTATACAACTGCAAGTGTTGCAGTGGCAGTGCCAGGCACTTTTCAAAATGCCCAGAGCTGTGGCACTTGCTTATGTAAAAATGTCAGTTGTGACCATACGAATCTGAGCTGCATGTCTGGATTCATTGTAACTCCAGAGTATGAGTGACCAAAACGGAGCATGTATGCAACATTTTACAGAACAACATCAGTTGTATCTTCTCATCTCAAAATCTTTCTGTCTCTTTCTCCATCACAACTACAAAGGTTGGAAACTGGCTGGTTTTTGGTCAGTTGCTTTGCAATTTAACATGGGAGCCAGATAAGGCAAAGCAGGGATTAACTGTATAAAGAATTAATACACACATGAATAAAATGAATGGTTTTCTTTGAGTCTATTTAGTGCCAGCAGGAAAAAAAAACAAAACAAAAAACCAGCCATAAGCTAAAATACCTGAAAACATGCATGCTTTCCAAAAAAAACATCAGCTCAAGGGATATTTGCTGCGGTAGACTTTAAAAAAACTGCCCAAGCTC